TCCATGTTGTGTGCCCAATATTTAGATGTGTATTTAGGACATAGCTGGTTTTCCCAAACAATGTAAAAGAGAAAACTTTCTGGCAAGTACTGTCATTGCTCCTCCTGGTGCAACAGCCACATGAAATAGTGAAATTTTGCATCCACAAAACACACTCTCTGGACAGCATAAGGCCATGTAAGTATGTAGGAGATGAGTTTGTTTGTAGCTTATCAGGCTTTTGAACAATGAATATTTATTTCTTCTCTAATGTACAGATTTCAATTTTGTGCTCTTGATCCTTGTGCAGACTAGAGCGCCATTGCAGGTATCCTGATACACATCTATTGATTCTCAGGGCATTGCTGCAAAACTACACCAGCTCCAATGCAACAGCATATAGCTGTGCTTTATCTAAGTTCATACAGCCACATGCACTGAGTTTTACTAAAAACACATAAATAAAAGGGAGGAGGTTGATTGATGGCAGCTTCAGGAAGGCATGACTAGATCCACACAAACACTTGGGAAAAAGGTGCATGCAACTTATACAAAACTCTCTGCAGAGGTTTCAGAGACGAGCAAATGGCCTTAAGTTGCACCAGGGCAGGTTTAGGTTGGATATTAGGAAGAAATTCCTTCACCAAAAAAGTTGTTAAGCATTGGAACATGCTGCCCAAGCATGTAGCACACAAGCATGGTGGAGTCACGGTCTCTGGAGGTATTTAAAGATAAGCAGATGTAGTACTTAGGGACATGATGTAGTGGTGGACTTGGTGGTGATGGGTAAATGACTGGACTTGATGATCTTAAAGGTCTTTCCAACCTAAATAATTCTATAAAAACTAGAAACTCAGTTTCATTCCTGAGTAAAGAGGTTCGTGCGTAATTTTTTTATGGCAATAAAATAAATATGTGCTGCTGCAGCCAAGGAAAACCGCAGACTGTAACTTATCTTGATAAGTGACAGCTTCTCTGATCTGACTTATTTTAGCAGGGTGAGCAGAAGTTAAAGACTTGAGCTATTTCTCCTCTTCTACTGTAATCTATCAGTGTGTCCTCCAGCTTTCCAAGGTGGTGTTGTTCAGGTGATTTCCACTGTCCCACTTTGCTTTTACCCTCCCTCCTCTTCAGTAACGACTGCTTCCTCCCTCCAGAAAGTCACAACATCCTAAAGTGAGCATTCAGTTGGCTGTGTCTGCATCACACTCCTCCTCAGTTTGGGAAAGAGGACTCACAACACTCCACTCAGCTGGCTCTCCAAAAAATCCCCCCAGATTTAAGCAGAGAAATGGGAATTAACTCCCTCCAAGTGTAAGAGCATCTATCTGGGCTTTGACTTTGATATACAAGCAAAGGCTTTTCGATTTAGATGATTTCCAATCTCCCCAGTTTTCATCTGTGTCTTTGGGTAGCTGCCTTTGTCAAACTGCCTGAAATACTCCCAAACTGAGCAAGTTAACAGGAAGAAAGGGTAGGCCATGTGCCTCTTCCTTTTCTGGCAGTAACATGGGAGGAAAGATGATGCTGTATGGACAGGGATGCTGAGTGCATCCCCCCCTCCTGGCCAGGCTGATGTCAAAAGAGGTACTGTGCAGAAGGCACCTGGCATTCAGCAAGGGGGCTGCTTCTGTGCCTGGAAAAATGAGAAATCCCACCAACTTGTTTGGTTGGTTTTTTTGTAGAGGAATACAAGTTCACTCATCATTACAATAAGCAAATTCACACTCCCACTGAGCCAGTTTGAGACTTCCAAGACCAGCACAGTATATGAATGAGCCTAGTAAGAGCTACATACTGCAGACTCTTAGCCACTATTTTTCAAATTTAGGTCAGTCTGAGGCACCATGACTGAAAAATTATTGCCACGAGCATTGTAAATTAATATTTTATATCCCCTTGAAGTGATTTTTGAGGAAATTAGCCTTCATTACTGAGGCATCTCTCCTGTAAACACAGAAAACAGAAAATACCTCTGCTGACAAAGGCAGCATTGTAGGGCAGGGAAGAAGAGTAAACATTGAATCTGCAGGAAGAAGTGGACTGATTCAGCAGCTGAATCAATCAGGCATGTGCATTCCTTCTCCCCAGCAGTGCCCCAAGCTTCAGGACCTGCAGCACCCCACCCCACAGCTAGCACCACCTCTACACCCAGGCAGCAGCACACCATTGCCCCACAGACCAACCAAAATGGCAAGGTGGAGATGTCAGCCCCTATCAGATATGCCCCAAGGACACCAGGACCCCCCACTCCTGCCAGCTGGGTGGTTTGTGGTGCACTGATCACAGCCACAGCCACGAATGCCCGGTCCCGTGACCTTCACTGGGAGGGCAGTGAGGGCGTGGGGTTTCCATGGCGCTGTTTCCTTTTTGTGTTTCGGACCATTTGCACGGCCCAACCGGTGCTGGAGTGCTTATTTTTGGCAGTGGCTGGGGAGGTTCCTCTGCAGCTGAGTACAGCCAGCCAAACTCAGCTGGCACGAGGCAGGGCTTTTCAAAATGTTCTGTGCTCCAATCGGAAAGCAGCCGAATGATGCTCTTCTCAGAAAAGGGCTGCCCTTGTCCTCTTTTAATGAAAGCGAACTTGGTATTCAGTAGGAGCAAGCCAGAGCTATTTCAGACATGGAAGACAGCAGACACAAATCAATAGAAAAAAATAACTTCTTTTTATTTACAAAAAAATCCAAATATTGGATGCTGTAAACAAAATTCACAATCTGTTCCCTCTAGAGTCTGTTTTCCATCAGCTCTTTTTCTGTCTGTGACAAAGCCTATAGTCAAAATGTTCCAAAAGAGCAATCCAAGGAGCAGTTTGCTGCAACAGGATGCCTTGCAGAAGGCAACAGTTGTAAGGAAATTTGAGGGAAAGCAAATCTGCACAGACTCCTACAGACTGCAGGAGCCTGCAGTGCCTTTAGCCAAGATGTCTTGAAATTTGCAGGCCATTTTTTTTTTACTATTTATTTTGTTAGCAAACCACTATTACAACAGCAAAACAGTACACGGATTTTCTTTCTTGCAAGGGAAATTTTCTGCATAAAGAAAACCATACAAAAGAATATATTCAAATAGGAGCTGAATATGCAAATACAATTTTTCCTTTTCTGTGCAGTTTCATCCAACACACTTCATTATCACAATTAAAAAAAAAGCGCCTTTTTTGAACCGGTAGGAGCTTCTGATGTGACACAAACCAAGCATTTAGTAAGAGCTGTTTAGAGGATTTGTGTGAAGGCCTTTGTGCAAGATAAAAAATACTTTAAGTGCAATACGAGAAACTAGAAAAATATCATCTTTTTGGTCTTCTAATTGCCCTTCTATTTTTAGGAGAAATGTTCTTGCATTTGAGAGGACAGCTACATCTAAGAAAAAAAAAAGAAGAAAAATCCCATTTAAAAGCTCTTGGTTGTTTCACGATCGTTACATTTAACCAAGTTTAGCGCCCTGTTGGTTAGCAGGAAATTCAGTGGTGACACAAACAGTTTTACTGTAATCAGGTCAATGTCTTTAATCAGTTCAGCTCTTTAAAAGGGACACTGTCTTCTGTAGCACAAGCTCTAACTTTACGGCTGATTGGATGGGACAGATCAAGTCTACAAAGCAAGAACACGGTTATTAACTTTAAAAGTACCAGTGTGCTGAAGAGGAGGGGAAAAATAGTTAAAAAGAAGTCAGACTTTATGGAGGGAAAGGTGTGCAAACCACAGAAATAAACCAGCTTTGAAAAGGGGTTCTTATTTTACTCTTGGCCTGAACTCATGCCTTCTTCCCACCTCTAACACCAGGCACATTTTAAGCCGCCAGTCACAAATAAAACTAAGCTCCACCAGTTCCACCACTTCATCATTAACATATGCAAAACAGATCTGGAATACCTATATAATATATATAAAAACATATTATATATGTATCAAAATGCAAATGCCAAAAGGTGCAGTTTAGCTCAGAGCCCGGCTGTATGCACTACAAGGTAACTAGCTGCTGTCAATCAAAAAAAAACCCAACCCACAATTAGATTTTAGCTGAGAGGAAGTAATTCAAAACTTTCTTTCAAGCAATGGCAAAAAAAAGGGCCCGTCAAAGGAAAACCAGCACTGTATCATGTATTATCAGCATTCTGTGGTTGTGGCACAGCTATAGATTCTCAAACCCTTTTAAAGAGAGGATGAGTCATTTATTTGCCACAAATAGTTGTGGGAGAGAAGACATACCACATTACCAGCTGATCCTATTTCCCCAGCCCTCCCCTCGCTTCTGCTAGCAAGCCAGGAGCAGAGGTACGGGGAGCCAGGAGCACCCAGCCCGGAGCCTCCGGGGCCAGAGGGAACCTCGCTGGGACCAGAAGCCAGCACCAAAGGAAGGGAAGGTGGGGACAAGGTCTGCACGTCAATGCTAGCAATGGCAATGGACCAGCTTTTGAGTTTCCTGAAGGACTCGCAAGGAAGGTGCTTCAGTAAACAAATCGGGTTCCTATTAAAGTGCCTGCAGAGTGAAAAGTACAAAGCGCGACAAAAATAGATGTACCTTACTCACTCCATAGGGAAAATACACTGCCAGGACACGAGTCCTCTCCCTCTCTCTGCCCCTGACTCCAACGCCAGACCGTGCCTGTGACCAGGCAGGGCACAGACGGATTTCCTTCAAAAGCCTGAACTCCCTTTTTTTTAAACCCCCCACAGAAAGAAAAAGCAAACTATGAGAGTCAAGTGTCACTTAGTCATTAGGTTTTCAAAGCACAGCAAAGAATTTAACACCTTCAGAGATGGCACTGAAGTGAAAACAGCAGTGGAGGAGGTTGGTTTTTTTCCCCCCTGCTGGTCTTTCGGGAGAGGAAATGAAAGTGAATAGCTATTGTTCCAATGTAAAGTGATTCCATTTAAATAAAGTACAGTACTAAAATTGTAAATGCAGTGTGACAACCAGATCAAAGATGTTTAATATTTGCATAAAAATATATATATATAATATATATATAAAATATAATTTTCAGCAATCGTGCAACACTCTTAAAAAGGGTTCATTTCACATTTACTAAATTCTAGTGGTCCTGGAATGCATAATGCATTCTATTAAAAATACTCCTTTAAATATTAACAATTAGTGTTCAAATTACCAACTAATACAATATTCTTTAGCTGTCAGGGGTTTTAAATAAACCTATCTTTGATCCACGTTCCACTGAAATTACACATCATGGAGGTATGCAGTCACAATATTAGTGGGTTAAATGTCAAAATGGCATTACAGTACAAAACAGTTAAAAAAAATCAGCTAGTCATATGTTTCTCCATCTGTGGAATTATTATGGCTCACAAGCAACCCACTGAATTACTGTAATCCTTGTTCTTGCAACCAAAGACATTATCTGAATCCCACCTTAATCCTGACTGGTTCATTTACTCCAAATTTCTCAGGTGTGGGTTAAAATTTCACTGCAAGGTGCCCACTGTCCTATGACATCCTGTTGCAAACTGGAAAACAAGTAGTACTTTATTTAAACATTCCTTAATTGCTACATTTTCCTAGACCACATTAATATATATTGTGTGTGTATATATATAGATATACACCAATGACATGTACATATATACACACACAAACATATATACACACATACACACACAGACCTAGGATAATAGCACACCGACAAAACATTAACTCTATACAGGTATTTGCCAAGAAAAAAAATAGGGCATTTCCTCCACCACTTATTCACAAGCTTATGGGTTGGTTTGCTTTTTTTTTTATCCTTGTGTCCCTGATAAAACAAAATGCATGGTTAAACCACAAAACTATATATTTTTTCTCACTTCAAATTTTATGAAGGCATCAGGCACTTTTGATTACTATTGGTGTGTACAAATATAGGAACATCTCCTTTTACATATATATATATTTATATATATATACTCTACTGTATCTTCTTTGCTTGGATAACTTTTTTGTGAAATCTTTGGTCCTTAAGTATATACTTCTTGCCACAGCTGGTTTTCCAGCATTCTCACATTTTTAAAATGTGAGGCATGCACACAGCTGGAAATAATGGACTTTGTCATCGTACATGTTTCTGCTTCTCTAACTGTACCAATCCACTACTGTTCATTTGGAGCAAGCTGTTTCTGGTAAAGCATTCTAGTCAAGCAAGCTATACATTCTACATGGTCAATCCATAGACGGCACTTGCTGCAAGCCCCAAATGCAGTAATTCCAATATACAACTTTATTCAGCTTATCTCTGCTTTATGCCTCTAACTTTTAACTCCTGAATATATATAGAACTGTTTTTTGTGAAGTTTTTTCTTTTGTTGTTTTTTTTTTTGTTTTGTTTCTTTCATATTCTCCCTTTTGCAGATCCCATTCTAGAGTAAGAATAAAAATAAAAGAAAATAAGGCTTTCCCACCTTCTCTATGCCAAAGCTATGGGAGCAGATATTGCCAACCCATATTGTCATCAAGCATATTCCTCCCTCACTTATTTCAGGGGAAGCTGGTTGCTTTCAATGACAGGCCTCTTGTGCTCTGGGGTAGGATCCAATTATTTTGGGGTTCTTTCTTGATCATGCTCCCATTAATAATTAGAAGAATCACAAGCTTGTCCCAAGCTTGAAAACTAGAGCAGATCATCATTGCACAAAACACCCCATTTCAGAGGGACCCGTCGCCCCTTCCTACATCTTAGAAAAAGTTCTCTCCACGGGGTCTACTAACTTCAGGTCTTAATTACAGGGCAGCCAAGTAGAGTATGTGTGCTGCTGGCAAGGGAACACCGTCTGAACCTGGGCAATATAGTAATTGCTGAAGTTGGCATCTGCTACGTATGGGGCTGGCTGGTAATAGCAGGTGACATTGGCCACGTTGGGGATGATATTTTGCTCGGCTAGGACCCGGATGGCCAGCATGGTGATCAGATTCAGAGTCTGTCTCCTCTCATGTCCCATCAGGCACACTGTGCTCTCATTCACCACACCGTGCAGGGTCATGAGATAGTCATACTTGCGGTCTTCTAATCCCACAAAGTGGTTCTGCAAGTAGGACTCCAGCTTTCTCTGCTGTTCGCCAATGTCTGAGAAGTCAATGAAAAACCTCGAACACATGTATCTCTGCAGGGATTTAATTTCAGATTCAGAGGCTGCCCTAAAGCCCCTTACCAAAAGGTTGCAGTACTTCAGAAGACCACCTCCTCTGATTTCTTCTGGGTTTCTGGTGGCAATTATCTTGTTGCAGAGGTGATCAAAGGCTTCCTGGAAATCCCCATAAACGCTCTCGCCAATGATAGTTGGGTGAAAAGTTTCAGTCATCGGATTCTCTGAGCACTCATAAAAAAGCAGCAGGGAGTCCAGCTTGATTTGAAAGGAATCGACACTGAATTCAAACTGCCGCCTCAGAGAGTCCACAAATTTCAGCTCCACGTTTTTGCCACTGTTGTTGGACAGGGAGATAAGACTCCATCGGTCTGAATCATTGCATACTTTTACCATTTTCTGTACATAAGCCTCCTATAATCAGAAAGACAAAATGAGCAAATCAAGACAAAGATCCAAGAAATTTCTCCTTCACTGCGTCTTCACCCCTCCCAAGCTGCCCCCCCCCCCCCCGACATTTGCATTTTATGAAAGATTTCATGGAGCCTGCAGATACAAACCACGGAGTAAGTGCTTAATGTGAGAGCTCAAAATGCTGTCACTGCAAGGGTATGACAGGGGAGGGACAGTGTTCTGCTGGGACTGTGTCATGCAAGGGAAGCATGCAGCAACACTACCTTGTTCAGTCACTTCTAAACACATCTACAGACTAAGTCCATGGCACATCTGCCAAATATGCCTGCACCCATATGCAGAAGGTCACTCCTACAATCTAAAAAGAAATCTGATTTATTGGTTTTCACTTCTCTCTCTACTTCCCAAAGAACAAGTTAGCAAATGTTCATTCCCCTCAATCCTACCAGTGCAGGTTCCATAAGTAAGTCCTGTATTAAAAAAAAATTAATCCCTCTAAAAATCTGGAAGGATTTGGATTCAGCCTAATCAACTCAAGCGAAGTGTCTTCTAGAGGAGGGGATATGCCTCCCCACTGGGGCACTTAGCACAGCTGGAAGCATGCCTTGCAGACGGGGTTTCCTTCTTGCAGATGTTAAATCCATCTACGCTCCCCGTGCACCCGGGAACCGGGGCCGGCACACCGAGCTGCCGCCGAGCCGGGCTGGGAGAGAGGTGTGCAGCGCCTGGCACACGCCCCAGGTAAAACAGCGCTCCCAGCAAATCAACCGGGAGGGAGAACAGCTAATTAATCCTGAAGAGCCCCGGGCAGGGCGCTTCACTGTAAACTCCTCCTCGGTTTTAAGCGTGGGGTGAATAAATCGCTCGGGGTTCCCGTGGGTCGCGGAGGTGTGGGGGGAGCTGCTGCACCACTCCATCCCCAGGGGGAAGGCGCCCGCGCCCCGCAGGCAGGCGCTCACACCTGCCCGCTCCGGGCGTCTGGGCAGAGGTCAGGTTTACCTTGAGTGTGAGAGGCGTGATCTTCTCCTTATTCACCCCCTCGGGTAAGAAATCCAAGAGGCAGTCCAAGACCACGTCCTTCACAGTCTGAAATTCGGCTTCTCCTTTGAGGTCGGCGCAGAAGATGAGGTCCAAGTCCTTGTAGCCCAGGCCGCTGTCCTGGTGGAGGACGTGGCTGGCGGCCGAGCCGTTCAGCCGCACGTCCCGCAGGCCGATGCCCTTCTCTTCCAGCCGGCTCCGCACCACCTTGACGATCTGCCGAGGCTGCATGGCCAGCGTGGGGAAGTTACCGCGGCCGTGGATGGGGATGGTTTCGCTGAGGATGCGGTCCAGACGCTGCACTTGCTCCCAGCTCAGCACGTTGCAGTGCGCGCTCTCGCCGCCGTCCGCGGAACTCCCGCCGGCCTTCTCATCGTCTGCCATGGTGAGCGGCCGCCGCCTCCCCGGGCTGGATCCAGGCACCGCTCCGGCTCCCCGCCGGCCCCCCGGGGCCTCTCTCTCTCCGCGCCTGGCAAAAGAGGAGGAAAAGCCAGCGGTCAGCAGCTGCGTGCACCGGCGCCCGAGCTCCGCTCCCCTGCGGCCGTCCCTTTCAGTGTGGGGAAGCGGGGGGACACACCTACTGATCAGATTTAAAAATAAATAAATAAAATGGGGGGTGGGGGGAGAAAAAGCCCCCCGGAGCCAGGTGGTGCTGCACGATAAGGGAAGGCGCCCGACCTGCAGCGCCGCTGCTTGCGCCGCTCTCCGCGCTCCCGCCGGGGCAGAGGCCGCCCCGCGCCGACGAAGAGGCCGCCCCGCACCGCCCAAGAGGCCGCCCCGCTCGCTGCCGCCGCAGGCTGTCGCCGTCTCCGGAGCTTTCGTAGTTCTGGCCGGGAAAGGTCCTCAGTAGTTTTTATACGGGGTTTCTCCGCGCTTCCGGGGCTCCGAGTCACGGCGCCCGCGTCCCGCCCCCTCTATCTGCATGGCCGGCCTCGGCGGTGCCCCCGGCCCGCCCACACCCGCGCACCCGCGGGCCGCCCTCCCGCCCGCCCCTCCGCAGCGCCCAGCGCGGCCGTCCCGCACCGCCTCGGGCTGGGGGAGCCGCGCAGCGCAGCGCAGCCTCCCCGCACGGCTCCGGGCAGGCAACAAGTGCACAGCGCTCCCTGCCCCGAACGAGGCGCGGCCCCTCCCGCTCCTGCCCTGCCTCGATGCGCGCCCAGGGGCACCCAGCTCCGCGCTGCCATTCATTCCCGGGTTTTTTTCCCCTGCCTTTTTACCCCCCGCCCGCCCTCCCGACATTCTCGGTCATCCCAGGCTCAGCCAAACTTCATACCAGAGCGACGGAATTTGGCAAGAGCCCCTCTCCAAGCAGATGCCGAGGATCCCGGGCCGTGTGGTTTGCGCTGCTCGGCTCCTGACCGAGATTTCCAGAGCCGCCTGCGGCAGCGCAGCGGCATCACGCCGTGCCTGCCCGGTCCCGGCCCGGCCCCTTCCCCCGTGCCCGCCCGCCCTCCTCGCCGGCGACGGGAGGAAAAAGACATCTCGAAGACCACGGTACCTTCCAGAGGAGCATCCTGCTTATAGAGAACAACTTGGGTAACCGCGGAGCCGTAAAAATGACGTGGAAGACAAGCATATTATATAAACATACCCATATATTTTATTTGCATTTTCTTTTAAATAACGATGAATGCATCTGCTTGTTTTTCACCTGTTACGTACATACACGAACATATAGTTATTATTTAAAATGCATATAGATACTATATGAATATCGATACTATTTCAAGACAGATACTATTTAAAATGCATACATACTATTTAAAACAGACTTAGCGCACACACCCGAAGCACGCAGCAGCACCCGGGGCCGCCACCGCCCCACGGCGCAGCGCGCACACGCCAGCGCGGTATGGACAGCGGGTTGCGCGGCAGGATGCAGTGCTGGGGGACACGGGGGGGTCATGGACGGTGTTGCGTCACCGCTCGCAGTTTTGTGACGCGCGGCAGGAGGGGCTAATGGGGGAGCGCAACGACGTGACGCGCAGCTCCCTCAACCGAGCACTTCGCCGAAACGGGGGGGTGGGCGACACAGCCCGACAGGGTTTACTGCCCCCTCCCCCCGTTTTTAGCGCGCCCCCCATCTTCTCCCGCCCCGGGATGTGGTTAGAGGTGTGGGGCCGCTCGGGAACCCCCGAACCCTGCACTCCCCCTCCCTCCGCACACCCCGGGCGGGGGTCCCGCCGCGCTGCGCCCGCCCCGTCGGGGCGCTCCCGGCCGGCGCAGCGCAGGGCACGGGCGCCCCCTGCCGGCTGCCGCGGGGCCGGGCGGGGCGGGGGCGGCTCGGGCTTTGATCCATTGCCCACATTCCCTATGGCTTCATTGCCTCCATTCCCGATGTGCTCTTCACGCCGGGGCACACACGGAGCGGGGGTGACTCCGCCCTGGGCCCCGTCGTGCGGCAGTGCCGCCCCCTCCCCGTGCCGCTCAGGGGGCGATAAAAGTGTTTGTATTGCTCTGTGTCAATGTGTTATAGGAAAAAAAAAGAAAGTAGAAAGCTTTTAAAGTACGAAGTGTACAAGGGACTGCAGCTTAACAGCAGAAGCAGAACGTTGTACGTCTGCCAGCATATTGAATAGGGTTTGCCAGCTTATTCCTTTATATAAAATAAACATTCAGAGTAAGCGGCCGGCTGGCAGGGGAGCCTGTTGAGGGGAGCCTGCAGCTGGCTGCTGAGAGCCTGGGCCACTGGCTCCTGCTGCTGGGCACAGGGAGCCCCCACTTTGCCCCTGGAGCCCCCACTCTCTCCATCTCCTCACACCGACCTGGGGCCCAGCCGGTGACAGGAGAGGGCAGGGGCTCCCGGGAGTCCCACCAAGGGCACTGCTTGCCTGCAGCACTGAGGCGACACTGCCCTCCCTGTGCAGCTGGAAAGCTCGGAGAGGTTAAAACATAACCCCATTCCCAGACTGGCATCACTCAGGTGAACCACAGTTCACTAGGGCACACGATTTAATCTTTCAAAAGGGGTAACTATCACCTTATTTATAAGCAAATTGCCATTATCAGTAATCAGCTGGATTACTGATTTCTAGAGCAAGGACAAAGATCAGACTTGGAGTCTCATCCCATATTAAGCAAGGCCAGCTCCAAGAAACTGAGACAATTTCCTGTCTGGGGGTAACCAGCATTTCATTTAAGTTGTGTTTCTCAGCATGTTGAAATGAAATTTTAGCAGTATTTTGAATACTGCAGAATGTACCAGTGCATTCACTACACTGGTCAGTAGGATTTAATGCTATTTTATGTTGATCTTGTTTCATTCCCCCATGAAGTGTGACTTTTGACCTCTTTTAAGTTGCTATCGTTTGCCCACTTGAAAAATGGGCAGAAGTTCATAGTGGAGAACACTGATTTACTAAAGGCAAGGTGAATGCAATCTCAGAAGGAAGACCTTTACACTGCTGGGTTTTGCTAAAGGAGAAGGGCTAGCCAAGCCCTCTCCTCACCTCAACCTCCCTTTCTCAGTGTAAGCACCTGCAAATCACCTCCCACTCACTGAAAGAAGAGAGGAAATAATTTTCAGTCAGAATCACTGCATTTACATTTTTTCAGTTCAGAAATGTGCAAAGGAGGGTAATCATTACACTCTTCATATAGATTAGGAATTATTTGCTCTGATGTGCAGTTCTTTTCACTTATCTTCCCTTAATTAATGGACACCAGATAAAGGGTATTTTATATATATCTATTTTAAGTAAACTGTGTAAATAGAAGAGAAATAGAACTCTATCAGTGCAGTACTTTACCTAAGATATATACTCATTATAGATTTTTGCTCCTCTATTCTACTTGAATGTGAAAGCCCTCATCACTTTAAATCAGTAGAAATCATTAAGAATTGTAGCAAGAAATTAAATTAGGGTGAATTACATTATGAGAAACTTAGAAATATTTGTATGAGTTACAGAGATTATTCTAATTACAACTGATACTGGTAATGCTGTTGCTAATAAAAACATTAATTCAGATCATGAGCACGCTCTGTCCCTTTAATGACAAACTTACTTTTGGAAGGAAAAGGTGGGGGTTTCTAAATTGTCGGTGTGAGCAGTAATTATTTGACAGAATTTTGATTGTATTACTCATTCAGGTTGTTTATGCTGCCCAAGCAATTAGTAGGAGCACAAGATGCGTGATGTGAATCATGTCTTTCTGTATGTTCGCACAATATTTTTCAATTAGTCCCTTCATTCCCATCCGTACTCTCAGTCCTGCTCTAGAACAAATGAAAATTAATAGCAACAAATGTGTTTCTCATGTATGCATTTGTGTATATTTGCCTAATAAAGTCCTCAGTGTGAGCTCTTCATTCAGCTTGGCCACGTAGCAGAGAGTGTACTCTCCAGGTGAGCTCTGCTGAATTTAGGAATTTAAGTAATTTATTGACTGAACTACATCAACTGTGACTGCAAGGTTGTTCTGCCTTCCTTCTGCCCGAGTCATGGTGCCTAAAACAGGAGCATGCTCTTTCTGGCAGAAAAAAAGAGCCAGAAACTGTGACTCTTCGTCTGTGCCTAGTCTAGGAATTGGTTCCTGTTTGGTGCCCAGCAGGGGAAAACTTCCAGTTTAGTTTTTTCAAAGAGGAAATGAGTTGGTGTGACAGCTGTCTGCCAACATGTGTTACCTACAGACAGTCAGGGGATTCACTTCTGAGCAGAAACACTACTTCAGTCCAAAAATTAATGTTAACTCGGACAGAGGTGTTTGTTTTTTGTTAAAAACCTAACAAATATCACTGCTACTATCATTACTATGCATTAAAAGCAGCAGCCAGGATTGGTTTGACAGGAACAAAAAAGTCTAGGAATTCCAAAAAACAGCCTCAGAAGGAGTTCAGAAATAAAGATACAGCACAATTGTATCACAGTTGTGTCATGAAAAGTTTGGTAATGTCATTCGTCCTTTCCTTTATTTTTTTCTTAATCCTGCTGTTAAGAGCAGTTATTCCTATTGGAGAGACAGACAGCAGGTACCATCATGTTGAATTTTCCCTACATCCTTTTGACAAGGTTAAAACTGCAAATAGATGTTCATAATAATAAAAAAGCAGTAGTCTGTAGCAAGATGGACATCGAGAGCCCCATTTTGCAGGTGGCTGAATGTGAAGTGTGTCAGGTGTGGATGAGCAGGCTGTGCAGGGGAGCCCTGGGGCCCCTCGGCAGCCCTGGCTGCAGTGGGAATGCTGGCGGGATAGAGCAGCACTGCAGCTTCCCACCCAGGCCTGGCACGGCAGCTCTTTCTGTCTCTGCTCACAAGTGCCTGAGCACAGCTGGCTTCCCCTATCTCATACAGAGGCCAACGGCAACTAAAACACTAAAAATCAGATCTTGACCTAAATTTTGTTCTCTGTTGAGATGGAAAGACATTGCTGGGCAGCAATCACCGGAAAAGTTCTTTATGTTATTCACTGTGTTGCTACACAATTATCTTGCCGGAAAGAGCAGCTATAGGACTGAAGAATATTCATAGTTGCTCTCCACCCAGATAGCATGTGAATGTATCAACTCAGCTCCAGATACCAAATTTCTGGAGAATGCAGGCTGCTGTACCCTTTTCCCTCCCTCCTCATCACCCCATGTGCAGCTGCTGGCTCCATCCCACTCGCCCCTCTGCTCGGCTGGGCAACCCACCAGGGTGCTGAGTGTGCCACAGCTCTTCTCTGCTGCTTGCTGCCCCAGACCAGAGAGTGGGCAGAGCTCAAGGAGCCATCAGCCAACAGGACAAAAGTTCAGAGA